GTGGTTCCTCCTGAAGTCCACTATCATCTCCACAGTTTTGAGTGTTTAGTTCCAGGTTGTTAAGATTGCACCAGCCAGCCAGCTGCTCAACCTCCTGTCTGTAAGCAGACTCGTATCCGTCCTTGATGAGGCCGATGACTGTAGTGTCATCCGCAGACTTCAGGAGCTTGACAGAGGGGTCTTTTGAAGTGCAGTCATTTGTATACAGCGAGAAGAGCAGTGGGGAGAGAACACATCCCTGAGGAGCTCCAGTGCTGATTGTGATAGTCCTGGATGTGAGTTTGCCCAGCCTCACTAGCTACTGCCTGTCTGTCAGGAAGCTGATGATCCACTGACAGATGGAGGTGGCCACGGAGAGCTGGGTCAGTTTGTCTGAGAGAAGGTCAGGCATGATGGTATTGAAGGCCAAACTGAAGTCCACAAATAAGATCCTTGCGTAATTCCCAGTTTTGTCAAGGTGTTACAGGATGTAATGCAGTCCCATGTTGACTGCATCATCCACAGACCTGTTTGCTCTGTAGGCAAACTGAAGAGGATCCAGCAAGGGTCTAGTGATGTCCTTCACGTGGGCCAGGACCAGTCGCTCAAATGACTTCATGACCACAGACGTGAGAGTGACAGGTCTGTAGTCGTTAAGTCCAGTGATTTTGGGCTTTTTGGGGACCGGAATGATGGTGGAGCGTTTGAAGCAGCAGGGAACTTCACACAGCTCCAATGATCTGTTGAAGATCTGTGTGAAGATGGGGGCCAGTTGGTCAGCGCAGACTTTTAAACAGGCAGGTGAAACACCATCTGGGCCTGAAGCTTTTCTAGATTTCTGCTTCCTGAAGACCCGGTTCACATCCTCTACACAGACCTTAAGCACAGGTTGAATGGTGGGGGAGGGAGGGAGAGGGGTTGCAGGGGTGGTAGGTGAAGGTGTGAAGTGCAGATCAGAGCGGATGGGGGGTGGTAGACGATCCTTTTCAAATCTGCAGTAAAACACATTCAGATCGTCAGCCAGTTGTT